AAAAACGAAGACCATACAAATACTGTTAATTAAGCCTAATTCACAATAAGAGTCACTTTCAAGTAAAAACTTAGAAAAGGAAATGAGCCACAAGAACACTACACCACACTAAGAAGTGTGAAGTTTATGTCAGTTAATTATCTTAAGTGAAAACTAATTAACACTTGCTAATATGGTAACAGGCCTGGAAATATTGATTTTGTTTCGGTCAGATACAGTTCGACCTGAGAGTCATATTTAGATTTAAGAGGACATTCTAAATCCTGATACATACATAATTTTAGTAGACATTAGTACCAATTATAAAGTAACACATCACACACACACACACACACACACCCTAAAAAAAATATTTTTTATACAGTTTTCTCTCCAACAAAAATGGCTTGATGTTTTAAGAAGTTTGAACATAACAAGTTAAAAGGGATTTATTTTAAATGAATGAGGGCAAATACAGTGAAACCTCATTAATCTGAACTCATTTGTAATGAAGTAGTCCTTCCTTTTTAATGAAACATCCAAGTAGTTGAATCAGTCACTTTAAATACAATAGACACTAATAATAACAGTAAGCAAATGTAGATGTTTTGTGGTCAGTAATTATTACCTTGTTTCTTGTTCTGATTGATCCTTACTTCACTCTCATAGTCATTTAACAGATTACTGAAACATGTATCCATACAAATACTTTTGTTTCAAGAAATACTCATTTGGATTTGAAACACAAATGCAAGGATTACCAATTAAAGCTCCCACTGTGAAGAGTTGTCTACACGTAAAATCACCCAGACTGTTGATGTCTTAGACTAATGAAGGTTCACTGTATCATGCTTAAACAAGTATTATCTCAATAGTAATTAATAAGCATAGCACAAACTTTTTTAGAAAAGAATTCTTAAACAGACAACCACAAATGCTGGTAGACATTCTTTGATAACCACCAGCTGATCTCGTTACAGTCAGCAGTGACACTGACAAGATGCATGTACCATGATGTCAATGTGTTTGGCAGCCTAGTAATATTTTAAAACTCAAAACTGTATATGGAGTGTTACGATATATATATTTTTTAACATTTACGCATCTGGTTATTTTCCACTGTAGTTAATTTTATGTAGTCACCGTGAATTACAGAATACCAATTCAAAATGGAAATGGAAAGGGTCAATAAAATTACACTAGGATACATACTAGTTTCACATTCATGAAATTTTGTTTCACAAATGTCCCTTGTGTAACTTTTTAAACTCACCTTAACTGACATTTCTTTGGAGTTGCTCAACTAATGCCATATACATGAGATTAATAGTCTAGGAACAATGGGATTTTAACTTTATTGGTAAACTTGAAGGTTTAATGCACTCAGTTTGCAAATTTCGTATGACAGTATCTTATCAATTACCATTTCTTGAATGTTTACTTTCTCACCGGGTTATTTTTATTATTAAAGCCGTTATTATATTACAAATATACAGTGACATCACTACTTATGGGAATTTCATACAAAACCAGATGACACATGTATCGCATATGCATTACAGTTACACAAGTAATCTCTCAAAGGGTTACTAGCATATTTTGTCATCTTTTATCTTTTTTTAAGTGCCTTCTTCAGATTTCAAAATTCAAACTTACATTTTGTATAGTTTTTTTGGTTTCTTAATGTTCAAAGCCTAGGTACTAG